AACAACTCAACGCGGGCATTGATGACCAGGACCACACATCACACTAAGGAAGCCGTAAGGAAACGAGATCACATACAGCCCAGCTCCGGCATGTACTTGGTGGCATGCCCCGCAGCCCACTCATGTCCTCATGTCCCGCATTCATAAGGTACATGAACCAAGCAAATGCCCGACACCCCACCCCACAATAAGTCTTGAACGCTACAAGCAAATCTTACACCCCAGCCCATGCTCGAGTCGCTGGAAAGCCCTGAGGCCGAATGCTAAACCTGAAACACGAGGCACCTGCAAACCCCTAGCGCCCCAGCACCCCGCAGCAAAAGCTGGACACCCCTAAACTTCAATCCTACACCCCACGCAAGCCCTCAAGTCCAACCCTAAACTCGAAACACAAGGTGCCTGAACCTAACCCACACCCTACACGGAAGCCCAACAGATTGAAACTATCAAACTCAAGTCCCCTAAGCAAAAACCCGACACTCCAACTTTAATCTTAAACCCTACACGGACACCCAACACCGTGTTGCCCAGGCGAACGCCCTGAAATCGACTTCACAGACATTCCTTAGCAGGAGCTTGAACTCAACATATTCCTGATATTGCCGTGTCAAGGGCCAAGCCCTTCACCTCGGATCAAAGTGCCAAAACCGAAATCCCCGAAATCAAACCCCGAGGCTCGGAACTACAAACCTAAACTTCGCAGGTGAAACGGATGCTGGCTCCAGGGGCAACCATACCCGTAGGTACACTCTAATGCAACGGATAAGACCTCGGGGCATGCTTTTGTCATGCGACTTTCGCATCACGGTGGCGGGTTCAGCAATTCTGCCTTGAAGGGCTCGTAATATGTGGTCAGCACCAAGTCGAGTAACGTTCGTCGCCGTGACCATAACAAGTTGCGACCCCAACCTCAGCTGAATCATCGTAACACCCATGACAACGGAGAAACGAAACTGTGGCTCTTCACTTCAGAAGACTGCAGCAGCGCACATAGCAAAGAGGGAATAGGTTCGACAAGACTTGCCCCGGTAGGTAAGTGCCCGACAGACGCCACCCTGTGCTTCCACACGCCGCAAGGCCTGGCACAAGGCTCACGCAGCGACAGCGACAAGCCACTAGGTTAGAGGCATCCTGCCACCTGGCCTCATTCACTTGACTGAAAGGGGAAGCTGCGGCGTGCGCCGGGTCCAGCAAAATATCAGCCAAATGAACAAGCACTGTCCGCACAGCTTGAACACGACTGGCTGTCTCTGTTCTGTGGTAATTGCGGCCAATCTCCTCACATGTAGCAAGGGCATTTTCTCCTTAGTTCAAGCCACAGAACTGTTGTGCTGCAGATCAAAGGAAATCTGAAGTAGAGACGGGGATCGGTTAGCATGTAATGTGCGATGCGCTGCCACAGCAACGTCATCATCATCCGGACGTGGTGCAGCCTCGCCCCGACCATGCGCAGAGTCGACATCGCTGTCACCTGCATCTTCCGTCTCAGCACCCTCTGGCTGAACATCATGATTGTGTGGAGGGCGAAGCAACTCAAGCATGTCGTCACAAAGCGGACCATACAACGCAGCGACTGGATCGGAGTCAGGCGGGCCGACTGCGTCCACCTGTGGCTGTGGCTCTGGCGCGTGTGCAGCTGCATCAACATGTTGCGCTGCAGCCCCATCGGCTTCTGCAACGTTGTCCGGCTCGTCCTGATCGCATCGTCTCCGTCTTGCGCGGCGTTTGGGCTCCAGCAGCTCAAGAGCTACACGCGGATCATCAGCAACAGCACCTGCAACAGACGTGGCTAGCGCTGCTTGACTGAACAACAAGGCAACCCAAACAGTGGATACGAGGCTGTCAATGCGCGGCCTGCGAAGAAACTTCGGAGACTCTTGTAGAAGTCCGCCTTTTGCCCGGGAGCGATGTACTGGACAGCTGCACCCTGGCCGGCAAGCTAAAGCTAGCTGTTAACTACACTGGCTCAAGGATGGGCTGCTGCGCACAAAAGTCTTCCCCCTACGTGCTCACATGAACTGAATCGTGCTGTTACTGTCCTCGGGGCGGTTCAGAAACGAAGTCAACATGGCGTCGTAATACGCTTTCGATTGAGAATGCCGAAAGTTGTACGCATCATCAAAGGTGCACACAGCATCACAGTGCCGGTGTAGAAGCTGAAAGTACTCGAGTGCCTGAGCCCCATTATAGACCTTGTTCCGCAGGGAAGGTCTTAGTTTGTCAGTGGAGGCTCGCCACCCGGAAACCTCAAGTGCTTTGCTAAGCGAGAATCTGGAAGCACAGTCACCGCGCAGCACAGGGTGGCCAATGACCGTTTGAACCGATATAAACGAATCAGCTACGTGTCCCTGCTCGGACAGCATGCCAGTCTGCTGCATCCACTCAGCAGCGGCGAGCGCGTGATCATCACCGCCTTCGGTCGCGCATACCACTGTGCCTTGTGATATTGCAGCTTGGGCAAGATCTCGAACAGACTGCCTCTGGCGGGGTCAACAGGCAACACATCTCCACCCTAGCTATTAATTAATCGGACAGGTGGCAGCGTGTCCGAGTCAGGGATATAATCAATATCTTCGAGCATATCAAGGAAGAAGGGCTCGCAGAAAACTGGCGCCGATACAACCTTGGATCTATCACTGGATGACATTGAAAATTAATGTTATCTCTGAGGCAGCGCAAACCAGCCCCGGGAAGCTATAGGATCGGATGGTAACCTCCGACATAAAACCGTGCATCAATCCATGAACCGCATCTTAGGGTTTGCGCCGTTTCAAACGTGATAGTCCTGCCAAGCTTCGTTCTCGTAGACGCGCAGGTCGTGCAGGTGGCACGACGTCTTGAACATGGCTGCGTACGCCATGGGAATGACCTGGTGCGATTGCACCGCCAAATCTTCCGGCGGCGTCTCCCCGTCCAAGGGTTCATTAAAGACCTCCACAGCCACGCAGTGCTTCCAGTCCTTGTCACATTGAGCTGGGGGGGAGGCTTAATGTTTCAACGCCGCCTTCTGCATGGCCTTGCAAAAACCGAATAAGTTCTGGAGTTTGCAGACTGCGACTGAGAAACGTCTGTAGAAATATGACTCGCGCGCTGCAAAGTCATGTTGCTGCCGGCATTAGTGTGAACGACTCTGAATATCGACCACTTCCCTTCTTCGAGACAACCCTTCAGCGCGTAAACCTTGTGGCGTTCCAGCGCAGCACGCACGTGTTCCCGCATGAGGCTCGAAGGCTCGTTGTCGGCGTCTGGTGCAGCGTCGCCCGACAAACACAGGCGGGCCAAAGTCTCTGAGAAATTTTGCTGCTCATGTCGTATCTCCGACAAAGGATCATGAATGGCCTGCGCACTCGACTGCGCCAGCTGCTGCAGCAGCTCGGTTTTTGACCTCCAGGTGCCCTGCCAAAGTTCCCCGATGTTGGCCAAGCATTCCTCCAGATGCTGCTGGAACAAAGAGGACGAAAGATCCTTGTTTTGCTTGCGCCTAGCTGTCGCTGACAAGGTCGCGGGCAGCTGTCGCCACCGAAATCCCAAGAAGCGTTTCAGCAGGGAATGCCGGCTTTCGAGCCGTTGCATGACAGAGAGACCAGTGCTGTATGCTATCAGTTCGTGCCACATTTGCGGGTGCATCTCTTGCACTTGCGATGTGGCCCAAGCCTCCAAATGAGCACGAAATGGCCCGCTGGCGTTGAGGAATCGGAAAGAGATTACCTGCGCTGCATGTCTTTCCACGCGTCCCGCCGGTCTCGGCCTTTCTTTTTCCTCTCTGTCTCTCTCTGTCTCTCTCGCTCTCTCTCTCTCTCTCTGTCTCTCTCTCTCTCGCTCTCTCTCTCTCTCTCGCTCGCTCGCTCGCTGTCTCTCTGGCTCTATACCT